GTTCAAAATTAAATAGAAGGGTTAAGTCAAAAAGCAGATACTTGTTTTATTCAACTTGGAATACAAAGTGTTTGGATAAATCAGGAAAATGTGATATACTAAAGTCTAATACATTTGCTTAAGTAAGAAAAAGAAACTTCATTGGCCAGATTTCTTTTAATTGAAAAATTGTTGTTAAAATTTGCATACCAACAGTCTTTGGAAGCAAGGATATGGAAGGTTAACCCACTCCCTATATTGCACATGGGATCCTTCTGGCTACCTCAGATTTCTAGCCAGAGGGGGGGAGGGAGGAAAGCTATTGGACACCAGAGGTTGTACCGAGTGGACTCCTCAAAAGTGGGTGTGCTTGTCCTGGCTTGTTGCTCCAAAGCTCTGTAATTAAGTTATTTTACTGGAAGGGTGTACATGGCATACATTGAATAATAAGACTAATGTACTGTATAATGGCAATGTGTATGTGTTCATTGTTGGGAAAAGTGTATGAGTGAAGAGTGGAAGTTTCCTTTGTAGGTTAAAAGAAGCCAAGAAGGGGAGAAGGAAAAAGAACAGAACGAGTTAACTGGAAAAAATATAGCTAGCAAGCTCAGTCCAAAGAGAAGATGCTGGCCCCATCCAAGGACATTGTTCACAGCTAAGACTTGGCTGACAACCAAGAAAAGGGGGGCCTGAATGTGCCCAAGCAACTATGAGATCTGCAAAACACTGCCAGGCATTAATGAAATGTGTTAGGTTTCTTTTCTCACAGATAAAAGAAGTGCTACCCAAAGACACTAGCAGCCCTGCCATTCATTGAAACAAGGAGACTGAGTCTACGTAAAGTCCATCAATGAAAGACTGCTTTGGCTCCACACTGGAAAGGCCCTTTCCAAGTCCTGTTAACCACCAACACCACTGTGAAGTGCCAAGGACTGCCTACTTGGACCCATGCTTCTCACTGTAAAAAGACCCCTCCACCTCGGGAGGACTCTCCGACTGATAAGCCTATTTCTCCTTCTAGCTCTGCTGTGCCTTCTGGACAGCAGGAAAAAGAAAAAAAAGACAAGGTGAAGTGCTAGTAACCTCTCCCTTGTCCACTGACAGACCTATTGTGCCTTTGGATTTTTCTAGAAGAAGCAAAACCATTACAGGGTGATGTGCTAGTAACCTCTCCCCTGTATGATGCTAAACCACACTGTTTCAGGAAAAGAGAAGAAGGAACACTTGCTTCATTGAAACCACAAAGTCCAGAGATTCCTGACTACAAGAGACATTAAGAACTGACCCTGGTGAAGAAACAAATAATTATACACTGGCAGGAAGAAACTTGTGAGACCCATGCTTGGGAACGTGGTATTGATTGGATTTTGGGGTTTATTCTACAGGCTACGTCCTGTGTTTTGGATAAGTCCTTCAGCATGTATTGCCCTCCCTAATTGGATTTTAAATTATAAGTACCAAAGGCACCTTGTTGCCATTGCCCCTGCCATCTTCTCCATTACACAATTACCCCGTAACACATCCAAATACAGACAATGCCATATATTTGATAAAACCAATAGCCAAGGCCTTCACACTTTAGTAATTTATTTAAATATTGTTTGAAAAAAAATATTTTTAAGGTTCAGGATATCCCATATAAGCGAACAATTGCATGGAAAAGAATGGATCAGTGGAGATAAAAGTATATGATATCACTACCAGTGAACCCCAAGAATCTGTAATTGCAATTGATGGGTTCTATAGCGAATGTTCCTGGAATTTGCACTGTGTTAAATGAGAGAGGCCCTTATTATTATTTGGTCACCCAATTAGTGAACAATTAAACAAATACCCAAAGAGTTTGTTTTGCCACTGAAAATTTTACCTGCATAGAAATTATTCCAGTGACTAATAATGTGACCTGTACCTTATTGCAATACACCCCCTCTTATGCCATTAATATCAATGCCTCCCGGAAGTACATAAAGGTGTTCAACCAACAGATGTGGTATAGTACTACACCAAAGAGAGATGTATTAGGATATCAATGGACTGTGATTAACACTACACTAGGGACTGTTAAATTTTCATTGCCCTTATCCAGTTTCCAGATTACCTCTACATACCCAAATTGTTCAAAGAGGACTGTCATTAGGTTAGCACAACAGAGGGCTTGGGTTATTTCCTCTAGAAAGAAGAGAGACTTGACCGGATCCCTTTGGGATGGGGCCAATAGTGCAGCAGCAGTTTGGAATATTTTTAAGAACCAAGAACATGATGAGAAATTGGGGCAACTAGAGAAGGCCATTGGCCTTGTTTCTGGGGCACAACTAACCCAGGTACAGGCTGGAGTTGGTGAGTTACATGTTATCTCCGCACTTAGTTCTATGACCCAGAAGTTGCTGACAGAGATGGTATTGAATATCACTGAGGCTGGGAAGGCATTGCAATGGGATCTAGCATGTTCAGAAATTCAGGATTTCCTGAATGACCAGCTAATGGCCATTCGGAATGATCTAGAGCATCAGGCTTGGCCCACTGCCCTTACAGACACATCAGGAGTACCATCTGATCTGTGGCCATGGAGACATACTTGGAGACTTTCTGGGTGGAAGTGCAGACGTTCTCAGTGCTCCTTCCAAGCCTATGGACCGGTTGGGGGGGTGTGGGCTTCCACATACCGAATCCTGCCGGGTCCATGGGGAGGATGCATGTGGGATTGGGTAATTCACTGAGACATCTGGGAAATTAGACCTCCTGGTATGCCCAACCGATTTTTAGTCAGTGCTCCCGGGATTATATCTGACATTTGGATGGGGTTAGGGAGTCAATGGACATTTTGGCTGTTAGAACCCCCACAGCTTCAGTGTATCCGTAAACTGAAGCCAGGAGCAGTTGTTACTCTTCATGACTACGTTTGCTGGGAGGGTAGGAGACAAGGAACTACCCTGACAGGACACTTACTTTTTCAAGCTAATGATAGCTGTGTGTATGTTAAAGCCACCACATTGCAAGACATACATTTTAATCTCATTACCACTGCACACAATCATATTATTTACTGGCCTGCAGATAGAATTTTGCAAGTAGCCATTAGGTTCCAGATACCCTTTAATTGGACTAGTTTAGTACCTGATCAATTTCAAAATTTGCTTTCACTGTTACCAGAGGTTCAGAGAATCTCTGAAATACAAGGGCAAATTCAAATGCTTCAATATATATATATATCAAGTTGAAAAGTATGCCTTTCATACAGCTTATAGAGTGTCTATTTTATGTACTAAGTATGATGTATTGTGCTTTATGACTAAAACTGTACAAAACCCCCATCATATTATTGCTATGGGAATGTTATTGCTTGTATTGCTATTAGTTAGTTTAGGATTATGTTATTGTTGTTGAGGATGTAATAATAGTAATACCTTTCACGTCCATGCTCATCATGCACTGTCATTACATCCAATCAAAACCCCTAAGGTTGAAGCATCTGAAGTAAAATCTGAATTCCAAGACTTAATGCAAATAGAGATTTGAAAATGTTTGTTGTACTAGTAGTACAAAAGGGGGGGTCGTGGAAGCAGAGAAAGAACTAACAGGAAGGGGATGCAATGCATGACAGTTTGTTAGCAAGAGTCAGGCTAACTGTAACCCTAATAACGCGAGATTTGTAGAAGCGAGAAATGTGTGAGGCGAGTGGGAAAGAACTGTGTGAGAAGTTGTTGCGACCTTGTGTAGATAATGTGTAGATAATATGGAATGTAGACTAAGAGTCTACATTAGTGAGCAAAACAAGATATCAGAATGACCTATGTATAAACAAAATGCAGCTGTTGCTCATTATTGTCTGTAACAAAAGGTATAAATGCTTGCTGTAATCAGGGCCGGCTCTAACTTTTTTGCTGCCCCAAGCAGCAAAAAAAAGCACCGCCCCTCCACTGAGCGCCGCACCGCGCAGCCGGAACACCCCCCTCCCGCGCCGCGCCCCGCGCCGCCGCCCCCCCCCTCCCCGAGCGCCGCGCCGCCGGAGCGCCCCCCCCACGGAATGCCGCACCGCGCTGCCCCCCGTCACCCCAAGATTGGCCGCCCCTTACCAGGCGCCGCCCCAAGCATGTGCTTGGTTGCCTGGTGCCTGGAGCCGGCCCTGGCTGTAATTAGACTCATAGACTCAGACTTTAAGGTCAGAAGGGACCATTATGGTCATCTAGTCTGACCTCCCGCATGATGCAGGCCACAAAAGCTGACCCACCCACTTTCCCTTATCTCAGCTGTTGAAGTCTCCAGATCGTGATTTAAAGACTTCAAGTCGCAGAGAATCCTCCAGCTTGCGACCCCTGCCCTATGCTGCGGAGGAAGGCAAAAAACCTCCAGGGCCTCTGCCAATCTACCCTGGAGGAAAATTCCTTCCCGACCCCAAATATGGCGATCAGTAGAACCCCGAGCATACAGGCAAGATTCTCCAGCCGGACCCACATTTTACCAGCGATGGCACGTTATTGCCTAATTGACTAAAATCACGTTATCCCATCAAACCATTCCCTCCATAAACTTATCTAGCCTAATCTTGAAGCCAGAGAGGTCTGTTTACCTGTTGAGAGACCTGTTTAGCTCTCTCCCTCTATGCTATTGATAGAGAGAAAATAAAGTATCTGACTTGCTGTACCCAAACAAAAAGTGAGAAAAGTGTTATTCTCCGACACGAGCGGTACCAAATCTTCAGATCTGATACATGTTGAGATCCACATATGGATCCAAACTTTGGTACTCATGTCCATGTATCAGAAAACCAGGGCTAGGGCTTGTAACAAGAGATTTAAAACAAATCATTTAGTATTCGGTGTTTCATGTATTTGTGAACATACCTTCCCCGTACAACTGTTACAGCTGTATGCTAAGGGACCACTTTTGCTTAGCTAGTTAAGATTCACAATTAAAAGCCATAATCTACCCTCACCTATAGTTGGACTTTTTCTTTTTCTCCTACTCTTGCATAGGGTATGATCATATTTTGATAAAATAATGCTCTCAACGAGTGAACTTACGGATAACCCAGTTCCATGAAGTTGTTCCACATTTGTTTTAAAACCATGATAACTCCCATTTGCAAGCAGAGATCTATCAAACAGCCACTAGGATGACACTGAAGGAAAAGGAAAAAAAGTTATGTATTAATTAGGGCTGTTGATGAACTGCAGTTAACTCACGTGATTAACTCAAACAAATTTTTCGTGATTAAAAAAATTAATCGCGATTAATCACACTGTTAAACAATAGAATACCAATGGAATTAATTAAATATTTTGGATGTTTTTCTACATTTTCAAATATATTGATTTCTATTACAAAGTGTACAGTGCTCACTTTATATGATTATTTTTGATAAATATTTGCACTGCAAAAATGATAAAAGAAATAGTATTTTTCAATTCACCTCACACAAGTATGGTAGTGCAATCTCTTTATCGTGAAAGTGTAACTTACAAATGTAGATTTTTTTTGTTACATAACTGCAATCAAAAACAAAACAATGTAAAAACTTAGAGCCTACAAGTCCACTCAGTCCTACTGCTTGTTTAGCCAATCACTAAGACAAACAGTACCTGTATTAGGTGCATTGAAAAATACTATTTCTTTTATTTTTTTACAGTGCAAATATTTGTAATAAAAATAAATATAAAGTGAGCACTGTACATTTTGTATTCTGTGCTTAATTTAAATCAATATATTTGAAAATGTAGAAAACATCCAAAAATATTTAAATAAATGGTATTCTATTATTAACAGCACGATTAATCACATTAATTTTTTTATCGCATGATTAATCGCAATTATTTTAATCGCTTGACCGCCCTAGTATTAATATATATTTTTAAAACACTTTTATATTTTAAAGCATTCCCCTAGTTTTTAAATGTGCAGCTTGGATGAATGGGAAATATTTAAATTTCTAGGGTGAAATCAACTGGAGTTTTGCCATTGATACAGTGGCTAAAATGAATTTTAATGCTTTTGAAAGGTAACAGAGTGACGGACCTGTAGACTTAAACTACCCACAGTAGTAGTACAGCATGGGCTAAGATATTTCCTATTGCTTCCGCTACTGTATTTCCAATATAGTCAACCCTGCATGATGGGGACAACCTTTTTTTGAACGAGAGTTTGGATAAATCTCCATGCCCATTGAATTTTTCTGCCATAAATTGCTGTAAAGTGCAATGGCTGTGATATGTACACTTGTCTTCTGGATGGCACCACCAACTCATTTCACATCAGCCAATAAACATGCAACAGAATGAAGCAATATTTGATCTCTAACGACCTAAGCTGAATTCATACTATTGACTTGGAGCTGCAAGTCTCTAAATCTTAAACCATTCAATTTACCAAAAATGTGTGTTTTGATTAGGTAATGAGATATCAATCATATCTAATAACTGACGCCAACTTTTTCAGACCTGGGTGTCTAAAGGTAGGCTCCTAAATCAATATATAGGAACGTAAATAGAAGAGGCATAATTTTCAAGAGATGCTGTGTAACCTCAGCCCCCCACTGAAATCGGAGAAGTGGTGTGGTTTAGCATCTTTATATACCCAGGTTTGAAAACTTTGACTTTAATTTTTAAAGTAGTACTCTCACATAAGGGAAACTTAAGAACCTATCAGCAATAATGGGCTGCTCTTCTATTTTGCCTTCCTTCCAAGAATCTCAACGGTCCTCAGAAATATTAATGATTTAGACCTCCTAACAAGCCTGTCAGATAGGGTAGCATTGCTGCCTCCTACTCACAAGTAGGGGAACTGAAGCACAGAGAGGTGAGCCGCCAGCCCAAAGTTGCATAGCAAAGCTGAGAGCTCAGAAGGGAAGCCACATTTTCTGGTTCCCAATCCTCTGCTATGAAAAAAAAGATATGTCCTTCCTCACTGCACTTTAATGGAAGAATAAATCTTACACATGACTATAGTTTGTGTCTTTTAAACATTCCAGAGTTTCCTTTTTGCACATAGAGATTTTACAAGAAAAAAAAATGTTTACCTCTTCCAGTCTCCATCTATTAAAAAGTTTGTTGTATTTTCCTGGACGGCCTGCAAATCTGTGAAATGAGATTTTTGTTTCTTAATAGAAATTCCAATAACATTTTGAATTACTAGCATTGTTGAATTTCATCCATTGACCAAACCTGTTAACTATAAACAGTTTAAATGATAAGTGGCTAAAGGCTGTGTGCTAAAATATGGGATCTAAAGAGAGCCTTAACTATGGAGGGGAAAGGGTGTAGGAGTTATTTCAGAATCCAAAATGGTACAGACATCCACATTTTGCAGGTAGCCCCAAATTCTAAAATGTGCAGAAACAAACCCCTGCATTCATACTCCCTGAACTTTGAGATGTTAGAAATTCAAGACACCCAATTCTGCAGTGGATCCGGGAAGGCAAACCATTATACCTATGCAGTCAATGAGGATCCACAGGCACAGGGATCAGCTCATGCAGACCCAGCTCCAGGATTGGGGCCTCATATATGCAGTGTGCATTTCAGGTCAATCTCTGTTACAAACAGATATTCGTAATAAATCCTTCTCACAGTTCTAATAGCTCAATATGTAATTCCCTGCTCAGGCAAAACTCCGAATGACTTAAATGGAAATTTCACCTGAGAAAGAAATGAAGGACTGGAACTTCAGGATATTACAGGACACTGGATTTAGCAAGTCAGAAAAGGATAAAAGACATAAAATGGATGGCACAAAGAAGTGTCTAACATAATTAGCATGAATTGTAATATCCCCTGTAGCTTGTTTCAATGTGTTTAGTAATTTATAGTTAAATACAGTAATTCTATGATATTCTTAGCCAGAGATTTTCTATTTTTTCCATCTTTAACTGAACCATCATCATAAAACTTGGCAGTTCCAATCAAAGAACTCAAATGTTTTGCAGACATAAATTAATTAGTATTTCCAACAATCTTGTAAGGTTGGCAAATATTATCAAATCTATTTTAAAAATGGTGAAAATGAAGCAAGGTCAAGAGGCTTTCCCAAGCTTACACAGTGAATAAGTAACAGGTACAGAAATAGAATCCAGGAATCCTGGCTCCCAATCTGTCTGCGAACCACTACACAGCACTTGCTACTTATAGGATTCGTTTTCCAGGAAACATTACCAGTAGGAGACAGATGAGCAAAAAGGGACAGAGCTAGGTCCAGCTTTTAAAATTTATCAGCATGTTAGACACAAATCTATATTTAGGTATCTAAATAACTGGCCTGATGTTCAGAAGTGTTGAGCATCCCCAATCCCTATTGATGTTAATGAGAACAGCAGGTGCTCAGCACCTCTGGGGAAAAAATATGTTTTTAAGATCTTAAACTTATACCCATGTTTGAAAGTTTTGGCTTTAGTTTATACTCAGCTCCACAAACTTTGCTGATTCTGACATCTATCTATCATGTTAAAACATTGTCTTTACTGCAATTTAATGCATTACCATAATGAAATATCTAGCACTTAGAGTTCAGTATGCATTTCCCTCCTATTCTTACATAATAAAATCATGACCAAAAAATAACTTACCTGCCAAGGAAAAAAGCAATATAAAAGATTGAGCTGTTTAAGTTGACAAACTGGAAGAGGAACATTTTCAAGGCAAAACTGTTTTCCCATTCAGATTCTGTTCTAGGATGCTCTAAAAGGAGTGACATAGTACACATTACACATTTACAAATGAAATCAAGTTGCAAGTGTGTTACAGAGTTCCAGGGTCAACATGCCTCCTATAGAAGAAATGATAGGGTTCAAATTAATTTAACCCTTTGAGTAAAAGGTTATTTTTTCCCCTCAGTAAAGTGTGCAGTGAGAGGGCCACAAAACTCCTACCCCAGCTATGACCAGTGTGGTTCTATACACAAAACAAAAATGGTGTCCCTGAGCTGTGCAACACCACAGAACTTCCAGTGAGAGTTTCATTCTCCATTTTGATGGCTCTCTTTTTGAATTCAGTTTGAATCTTAACTTTAAATTTAAATCAGTTTTTTTAATCTTTTGAGACATGTTGAGATGCATTGATTCTTCTCTTAGTACATTTCCCAGACCCGAGGAAGAGCTCTGTGTAGCTCAAAAATTTGTCTCCCTCGCCAACAGAAGTTGGTCCAATAAAAGATATTAGCTTAGCCACCGTAACTCTTTGATTCTTCTCAGCAGTTGTGCATGATAGTGCTTAGCATCAGCAACTCAATACACAATGGCATGGTAGACAAGCAGTGAAGTGATCAGAACTGGCAGCAACCTCTCCCTATCTGCTTCTCAAACATTTTCATGCCTTATTCCATGCTACTCCTTATGTGTGGGAACATATTCTCTCAACGTATTCACAGGGACACTACTCTCTCATCAAGACTCAACTCTGTCATGATGCCTCTAAGGTGTCAGGTATTTGACAACAGCATGGGGGCAGATGGAATGAATTGGTTATTTATATTTTTTAACTACAAATATAAATCTGCATAGAAACACCTCAAAGATTTTATTTAATTCCTCACTCCCACTCTTTGCAAGTAGATTTTAGGATTTTTAGGGCAGGAATTCTATCTTAATTAGAACTGTTTGTTAATTATTGAAATTTGCAATTTTTTATGAAAATTTCAAATTGCTTTTAAAAAACTAATTATGCTATACAGTATGTGGATAAGTGATTTAGAATCACCATGAAATCAGTAAATACACTTTGGAGTGTTTAAAATAGATGTAGTCACGTTGTTGCAGTGAAAAAAACAACTGCATTTTTTTCTCTGAGTTCTTTAATAGAAACCCTTTCAGATTCTAGGTGTGGGCTGTTTAACTAGTACAAGCAGAATTAATTAACCGAGATAGGGTGGGTGCACTTTTCAAACACTGGATGAGATATTCAATCCTCTAAAGTTTATATGGTTGCTTAGGGACAAAATAAACAAACACATTATAAGGATGTGGTTTGCCTTTCGTTGGAAAATCCCAGCCTGTTGACACCAGTTGTTGTTTTTTTCTTCCTTTCCTTTTATTTATTGTAATGAGGGCTTGGCTACACTTGCAGATGTAGAGCGCTGGGAGTTAAACCAGCCCTTGGAGACAGCAGCAGGGAAAACGCTGCCGAGTGTTTACACTATCAGCTTCAAGTGCAGTGGCGCGGCTACATTAGCAGCTCTTGCAATGCCACAGAGAGCAGTGCATTGTGGTAGCTATCCCAGTGTGCAAGTGGCTGCAGTGTGCTTTTCAAATTGGGGGGGTGGACTGTGACAGGGAGTGTGTTGTGTGTATGTGGGGGGAGAGACAGTGTGTTTTGGGAGGCAGAGAATGTGTCAGCATGCTGTCTTGTAAATTCAAACAGCAGCAGGGGGAAACTCCGAAATCAGCCCCTAGCCCCCTCCCCCACCTCTCTCTCACACACGCAGGTCTTGGCAGCAGCAGTATTCCACAGTAATGGTTTGCTTTGTCCTGGAGCAGATAAGCATGCCGGCTGTCAGAAACGGAGCTTTGAAAGGGGATAGCCGCATGCCTGCAGCCAAGTTCAAAACAATGTCCAGAGTGGCCACTTGACTTCAGGGGATTATGGGACGTTTCTGGAGGCCAATCACAGCACAATAATGCAACACGGCATCCACACTGACACCCCGGCGCTCCAGCCAGGGCGCAGCAAGCTCTATGCTTCTCATGGAGGTGGATTACCAGGAACGCTCCAGCTGTAGAGTCCAGGTGCTCTAAGTGCCTTGCCAGTGTGGACATCTCAGGAGTTAGATCACATGAAATCAGTCCTGGGTGCCCTAACTTGAAAGTGTAGCCAAGCCCTGAGTTCAGGAAGTATCTAGGAACACTAGGGCAATAAAAAGTCATTCTACCGCAGGTGAAAAGTAGCCAACTGTGTTCTGGTCCAACTCAGAAAATGTTGCAGTGAATTTAAATGTGCTTTTAAAAATTTTAGTTAATTTTAGTTTTATTTTAGTTCTGTTTTAACTGGAGTTATGAATGAGTGAACACTTTCCTATCTGTTTGTCTATAGGCAGACCTTGCAGTTTACCTGCATCTGAACACCAGAATTTGTCTTGAGAAAGGACGTTAGTTCTAAAAACTGGTGCTGGATTGCTTAGGCAGGGTTAATGGTATCTGTCATCCAATTGTGTGGCATATTTGTTAGAAGGGCTGTCATTGGGTAATCCTGATTCCTATCACCATTGGCCTTATGCAAGACCTCAGATTGACTGGTGTTTAATTTAGGCCCATTTAGGTTTTACAGTTAGGGAAGGGGCATTTGGACTTTGGAGAATTATTTGTGTGTATGCGCGCGCGCAGAGACCAGTAATGGAATGAGGCTAGTTGTTTTTCAACTGCAGCCACAAATGACCTATTGCTCTTTGGAATTACTTTGTGAAGTTCTGTTCAGTTAAGTTGCAGTGTTTTGGCTAGTTATATATATTATTAAATAAATAAATAAATGGTCTGTCCTCACTAGTTCTTGCCTTCAGCATTCTTGTGACTGACCTGTACACTTTCCTCAATAATAAGCACTTTTCCAAAGTCTATTATGTATGGAAACAAAACTTACATCATCATGACCTACTTCTGCAGGACCAGAAGCCATATTATGAAAGGGATAACTGATGCTCTATTACACCAGATGTCAAAAGGACTTTTCATGTATAATAGAAAAAACAGCTCTAGCGAATCTAAGCTTTGTTCTCTCTCATTCCCCTGTGGTATTCAACAAAGTGCTTTGATAGAAACAGTTAGCTCAGTAAGGGTAAAATCTGAGTTTAACTGGGCACAAGATTATATAAACTAACTTGGATGAGTCCAATGACTATCAAACTTTTGTGGGTGCTTCCAAACCCCTGGTCACTTATCAATTAGTAATTAAAGAAGAGTTTCATGTAAAGCACTACTAGTCAATGTAGGGCATCAAGCGCCTGAGCTAAAACTTTTTTGTAGTCTCCTCTGTGTGGAGAATTACCATGTCTTTAGTATTGCAGATGTACAAATCCTGCAGCCTCCTGTTAAATTGAAAGACTGAGTGCTTTTTATGAATTACAGCATCATCAACTATATCATTAAATTGGATAGAACACATCAGATGAAATGTTAAGGATAAAATATTCACACAGTACCAGACTGGAAATTTAAAAAGTAGCCTCCCCGATCACAACTTTTTTGACTGAATTGTGATTGGAAGTTTTATTATTAGTTTCTTTTTAAAGAGTCAAAATCACAGCTCGTCAAAAATTTGATGGAAAGATTTTCCAGTGGAAAATGCCACGTTGCCGAAACCAAACAACTTTAAGTGGGAATGTGTCAATTTTGACATTTAGTTTTAAATTTTTTATATAGCATTTTGATAAGGTCAAAACATACCTATTACACATTTTTAGATGGAATATTTTGCTTTTAACTTTATTTTATATTATATTTTAAAAAACCACTAAGAACTTGAAATTGAAACATTTCAATTAACCCTAAATGATTTTTTTTGAAAAATTCATAGGAAATTTTGAAATTTTTTGTTGTCTCCCAATTCGGAATGAAAACAAATGTCAAAATCAGGAAATTGTTCATGAAATGTAAATCCCAGGTCTCACATAGCACTAGTCAGAATATTTGTCTGGAAAAGGGAGAGGAATTTTCTTCCCCACTAACTGAGACCAATGGACATGGCACGATCCTAACCTGATACATCTCCTCTTTCTATCAGTGGGACAGATTACAAAAAAAACCCTATTCTTTTCAGGCTTCCAACTTTGCCTGATAGCATTTGAAAATGAAAAAGAATTAATCCTGGGGCACAAAATGTTAACAATTCTGGTACAGCTGGATGAAATCAAAAGTTATCTGTATTTAGGCGAAGGAACAATTTAGGCTTTGATTGTACAATCTGATCCACACAGGGTGACATCTGAGCCCAGGAAGAGTGCCACTGAATTCAATGGGATTTCATATGGACATTAGCTGTCCCCCTGTACTAAGCAGACTGCAGGATGAGGGCTTCTAGAAATGGCCTACAGTTGCATAGTTTATCTATGATCCAAACTTCTCTAAGGTCTGATGTGGGGTGGGGGTGAGGGAAGAGGCATCTCCTGATCTAGGGATTTGGTCATCTCTAGTGTCCATTGACCAACAATTTTCTTCCCCCCGCTTTTTTTTTTTTAAACATATGCTGGGGGTAATAGTTTTCTCTGCAGTTGGTAGGCAGTTAATAGTTTGGGAAAGGACACCACATTACTATGCATGTTAAAAATGTTTTTGATGATTTGATATTGAAATACAAAGTTACACAGTATAACTGATGAGGAGTATGCCAGCATTAAAATGCACCTACCTAAATCTGTTAGGAGATAGGCAACTTTTTCATATACCTGAAACAGAAATAAGAAACAGCATAAATTATAGCAAAGATTTTATATTGTTAAAATATCAGGATATCTATTAAATAATGACTAAAAGTAAGCATTTGAAGGAGACAAGTATTTAACTGTCCTACAACATCAAGATAATTGGGATGAGGGCAAGAAGCTGCAGGAATCTTAATTATTTGCAATGAAAAAAATATTCATTTATTTTAGTCCTTCTTTTCCCTCTAGTCCCTCTTGGCTAATTATCCACACACACAATTAGATTTTTATGTTCATAGCTTGAATTGATCTATTTAATGATTTATAGAAATATATTTCAGTCCACAGAATGCTCAAACTATTTGCAATTTATCATTTGCTATCTACTCTGTGTGACTGGTCACTTAAGTTGTAGATGGTATTGATCTATTTTCTGATTGGATGTGTCCATATCTACAAAGATTTTGAGATGGCTGACGCATCTCATATTCGCAAAAATATTACTGTATAAACAGATATCTGCATGAGCATTCATGGGTTTTCCCCTTACTGTTAGGAATAAGTGGATGTGACTGGTCTGAAAGTAGAGAGAAACCACAGATTTGTTACACTAGGATTTCCTTTTGCATTCATTTGTACATGAAGTCATTTAATTAGCATTTGCCTTACTTGTCTATTTAATAGTACAGTCATGATCCCCACCCATTCTTCTAAATGAAACTTCAGCCCTAACACAGAACTGACTTTGTAAAAGCACAAATGTTTTCCAGGAGTGTCTCCATGTTTTCAATAGCTTTGTTTTGCTTATGCACTTGGTATGTACTTTTCATGACCCGGAAATAGGATGATTAATAATTTCAAAAAGTTTGCAGAGACTGTTTTGAAGAATGCTACCTACTTAGTAGATAACAGAAGAAGTTACAATGCTACATAATTCCTAATCTTTACCTATTTACACTTCTAATTTCATTGTAGAGAAATGATGAATGCCATCAGTAGTGACAGAGGACATTTTATACCAATACAAAATCTGCTAATACAGTAGACATTTAAACCTATAAACATGTATTTTAGTAGAGAAAAGCTAAACTAAAACCATATTCTGCAATGCCTCTAAGATTTTAAAATGTTGATAACACAGCTGAGTTGAAAAGTAGAAATGGGAGATTCTAGTTTCATTATTAGGAACCTTTTTAAATTTGGGAGAGGTTCTAGAATTCTCAGTTAGGAAGAACACCACTTGATCCCATAGACTGAATAGATTTATTTCCTCTGCTTTTGTAAAATCACTGAAAATAACTGTGAAGTATTTTGTGAAACATCTGGAGGTTTCTGGAATACTTTACATTTATTGTGAAGTCCTAAATTTGTAGATGCTCCCCCCCTCTCACACTTCCCCTATTGGATATGGCATTGATCTCACAATTCCAAAATGGATAGCAGTGGATTTTGCTAATGTAAAAATGGTGTTCTGTGTCACCACTGAGACTTAGTGGTGTAGTCAAATATTTGTAGTGAGGAATTGCACAGGCAGCTCAAAAACCATTGAAACAACAGCATGCTATTTAACAAAAGCAATTGCAACACCATCTCTGGATGTTATTGTAATACAAATAAACAATGTGCAGACATTTTTCTATATAAATTAATAAAATACATGTTTAGGAAGGCAAGAATGTGTTACACAATCAGCTATTTGTAACAAAACTGTTACAGTACTGAAATGTGCAGAGAGTTTATAAACTGTTTTTGTTTCACTCTATTACCAAAGTTACTTGAGTTACAATTATACAGTAACTAGTTTTTAAAAAATGCAATGTATCACTTAAAATCCTTATCCCTCTTTTAAAAAGTTTTAAAACTTACTACATTAAGTGACATGATGATCATGAAATTGATACAGACTCCAGTGCCAGATGTGGCAAACTGCCAGTACTTTTTGATAAAATACCACTGGAAGGATGCAAATTGTTCCATAGCTACCAGGCGATAGACCACAACTGCAAACACTGCAGTGAGTACCAAAGAAATCTGCAGTAAAATAAATGCATGTGTAATTAGAAGACTAAAATACCTATTAAAATAAATAGCTGAAATAAAGATCAATAGATTATTGAGTGCTTTTAAAAAAGAGAGAGCCCAATTTGTTTCACGGAGCAGTCTTAGATTAAAGACGAAATACTAGACTGCTGAAACAAAATTCTCTATTACTATATAAAGACAAATGCAAATTTGCAAATATATTTTTGCAAATTTCTAAAGGTGCAACCTCCACCAACACACCCAAGAACCCCAAACCACCACCAACCCATCGAACATTAACAAGCGTTGTGCCTGATCTGATCTCACTTACACATGTTACACGACTGTAACTCCATTAACTTTAGTGGAAGGCCTCCTGATTTACATTGATGTGATATCAAAATAAGGTCTAGAGTGGCCTTCCAATATCATTAGAGACTTTACCATGAAGAATATTCCTGAGACAGACACCATCAGTCGACTAAGTTTATCAGGGAAGGGTTGAAAAGGTTCAGGTTTTCCTGTGATGGGATTTACTCGTTCCACTTGGGAGTATTTTGCTTCAAACTGGGGGCGCAGCTCTTCCTGCAATGACATAGATTTGCTTCAATTTAAGTAGCAACGCATTAGGCGTTCAGTATAAACATTCTATAATGATAGTGACTGGCAGTTGCATAGCTCCCTTCGTCCCAAAGCGCTTCACATATTTTTAAAGTAAATATCCAAATAACTGCCCTTGAAAGAGGCTGAATTGGAGAGCCTCCAAGACATGTCATTACATTCACACGGAGATCAGGAGCAGCACAAATCGTGGCGCTAAAAGGTTTTCCCTCACTCACTAGCCAAGGTGCTAGAAGAATCACCTCCGGGGGTGAAAGGGAGTTCGGTTGCCATGTTGATTCGATCACTGGTTTCTCTGCTGAGATTGCTAAGAAAACTGTTGTGGTGGTGATTTTTGTGATGTGGAAAATGTTCATTAGGAACTAGACTAACATCATCAACTCATCTCCAAGAGGTTCCAGAAGAGCCATGAAGGGATAATGACTTTGGGCCTCAATTAATTTGGACCAAATTTCAATCATTATCCTACAGGTGAGTAGGCTTAAATTCCATTACAGGAATGCTCACTTGTGACTTACAGAGCAAATTTCATGAGATGTGCAAAGGGATAGAACTATTTGATTGTGCCCATGGCAGACTGAAATAGGGTGAGGTGGCCCTTTAAGAGTGTTTCAAGGTCTAGGCTCCGGCCCTTTTCCAGAATGGCTTCATTCTGGGCTGAATCAGGAACTTGTGGTGCAAAGGGATCATGGGAGTTGAAGGCTGATTAGCAATGTATGCAGCGAAAGGAATCAGGTCCCCTGCTGTGTTTGGGTTTCTAGCTCCAGATAGCATACTCTTCCCTAGCCACTGAGGTGGGCTCTTTGTCTGGGGGGACCCAATAGCAAGTTGTATTCTCTTTAGGCAGAATGCCACACAATACTTCTTGATTCTTCCCTGGTCTCCCCTTTGTGGGGAGAAGGGAGCTCTTTTTATCCATGACCTTGTTCCCAGAATACTTTGCTGCACATTCAACAGTCCCTCAGGACCACAAGTCCCAGAATCCCTTAGCTTTAAGCTACACTGGGATAGGGCCACAGCTGGCACCTAAATCCCTCTTAAAGGGCCTGCTTACTCCAGACAGATATTCCTGACTGCCCCCATCAGACTTTGCTAAATATGGGCACTTAGATAGATAGATATATTTTATTCACATACCCTGCTTAAACAAAAGGAGTACCGTTGCCCTTCCGACAGAAAGAAAAACGAGCTTTGCCAAGAGGAGAGTAGTATTTTAATTTGGATGCACCTCTACTTGCAAGATACATTATTGATCTATTGCACCGGTGTTATATAGCAAATTCAATTGTCCTAGCAAAGCATGAGGCATTATTACTTACACTGTTATTGTGTTGATAACAAGATCATCATTAGATTACTTATTTGCGATCTTACCTCTTCATCCTCCCAGTCTATGAGATCCCAGTCATAGGTGAGCACAGCTCTCCGCCTTTTCCAAAACTCTAGAAACACCGTAGCTGTGGAAACCATTAGTTATACTTTTTATATTTTTCACAATTAAAACATGGGTTTAAAAACAGAGGCATGATAATTTTAAATATATTACTTGATCCCTAATAATATTTATGCAGAAAATATTCTTTTATTTTGCCATATATATATATATATAGAATGGAAATCGAAGTGTGATGTGGTGACAAAATCTAGGAAATGCAACTTTGCTGGTTCAGTCACATACAGAGGATGAATGAAAAGGACCTGGTGAGGATAGCATGGCAGGAGCGGGTGGTAGGAAAGAGACTCCAAGAAAAGTCAAGGAAGCGATGGATGGATTGCATCAAAGGAGACGGTAAACAAGTGGACCTTATTGCTTCCTCGGTCAGAAGATGATGGTGGATGCTTTCATGACAACCTGACCTCAGATGGTGAGACAAGGAGAGGAGGAGGAAGAAAAACTACAAGTGCCAGAAGGCACTGCTTGCTTGAGTTGGCTTCATGTGTTACACATAATGTAGGCACAGGCCTACCTATTACTCACTCTGGGAGGTACGGATGGCTTTCAGTCTGTCAGTGATCCAACTGATGATTAATCAAAGGCTTTTTAAAAGTGTCTTGCACAATGCTTAATTACTCACAACAGAAAAAGGATGGTGGCTATAGGTATTTGAGCAGGAAAGGTTGATTGTGTAGAGAGGCTAGTGATTCTATTTTAATATGACTTTACATGTACTAAAAGATTTTCATTTTTAAAGGGGGGAAAATGGGCAATGACTCATCTTGAGAGCTGTGTTCTGAAATGGGACACTGGAAAATGGGGAAAGAAGATTCCAATGTTATCATTTTTTTAAATAAGTGTTGAATCTTTTGTGAAAAAAACATCAGTCTACACAGACTAGGAACTCAGAGTTCAAGTCCCTAAAAGTCATAGTGGATGGTATTTTCAAAATGGCCTACGTAACTTAAAAACTTAATTTCCATTGGCTTGCAACTGGACTTGGGCTCCAAGACACTTGGGCCCTTTGAAAATTGCACCCAATGACTTATTTCAGTAACCCTATGAATAGCAGGCAGAACCCTGATGTGGTAAAGCCAAGCAATAAAAACCAACACTACAAGTTGGTTGTTACATTTTGTGTGTGTGTGTGTGTGTGTGTGTGTGTGTGTGTGTGTCTGTTTATGTTAAAGTTATTAACACACTTCCTTTAAAATAAAATTAAGAGATTGTGCATGTTACATAACATTTCCTTTCTGAGCCTCAATTTGGTTGATAATGTTAGAATCCAGTGAAATAAACATTTGGGGTCAGATTCTGCCACCGTTGCTCACACTGCGGAGAATTTCACTATACACGTAGCACACCTGGATTTCACCTCACTCTGACTAAAAGATGCCTATCCTGTCCCTGGATTACTAATACACCTCTACAGGAGTTCTTCCACTTCTCCACTGGGTTGAGCTCTTCATGTGTGTGTGTGTGTGTGTGTGTGTGTGTGTGTGTGTGTGTGTGTGTGTGTGTGTGTGTGTGTGTGTGTGTGTGAGAGAGAGAGAGAGAGAGAGAGACAACCACCCACCCTCACACAGACACACAACTTCTTTTAGGGACTATACCCCCCAGGCAACACCTCTTTCTACCACAGCCTGTTTCCTAACATGTTTCCTTACATGAAAGGCTCTGTAGAGTACCAGAGAGTCTGTAGACCACAGTGTGAGAACCACTGCATTACTGGATTACATACTTTCCAGCTGTCAATATAAAATAAGTTTCCTTCCTATAAAGTGGGTTTCTCCTATCACCTGAATGATTGGTGATACACTACAGCTCCCATTATCAGTTGATTAGCAATGAACCAAAAGAACTACTAAGTCTATTAGTTAGGTTAATTTTATCTCTGGTATAACTCCACTGAACATAAGAATGGCCACACTGAGTCAGACCAATGGTCCATCTAGCCCAGTATCCTGTCTTCTGACAGTGGTCAATGCCAAATGCTTCAGAGGGAACAAACAGAACAGGGCAATTATTGAGTGATCCATCCACGGTCGTTTAGTCCCAGCTTCTAGCAGTCAGAGGCTTAGGGACACACAGAGCATGGGGCTGCATCCCTGACCACCTTGGCTAATAGAAACATGGCATCTGTGGTTCCTTGTCTTTTCCTAAAGCCAAGCTGTTCTTGTTTGAGAAAAGGTTCCACTGTTCTCAAAATCTCAGCATTCCCTCCATGAATTTATTTAATTTTTTTTTCAACCCAGATTTACTTTTGGCCTTCACAGCATCCCCTGGCAACAAGGTCTACAGGTTGACTGTGCATTGTGTGAAGAAGTACTTCCTCTTGTTTATTGTTCCTTATGTTTGCTTGTTATGCATAAATACTTCTGTATGCTGCCTATTAATTTCATTGGGTGACCCTGGTTCATGTGTTATGTGAAGGGATAAATAACCCTTATTTATTCACATTCTCTACACCGTTCATGATTTTATAGACCTCAAGATGGAAGACTTCAGGATTTTCTTGCCTCAGAGATTCACCATGTGGGTTGGGGAACAGCCCAGAGACCTTCCCCTCTGGAAGAACCCACAGTCCAGGTCAATTGGGAGGTTTGGGGGGGAACCCGGGCCCACCCTCTACTCCGGGTTCCAGCCCAGGGCCCTGTGGGCTGCAGCTGTCTATAGTGCCTACTGTAACAGCTGCATGACAGCCACAACTCCCTGGGCTACTTCCCCCTGGCCTCCTCCAAACACCTTCCTTAGTCTCACCACAGGACCTTCCTCCTGATGTCTGATAACACTTGTGCTTCTCAGTCCTCAAGCAGCACTCCCTCTCACTCTCAGCTCCTTGCGCCTCTCACTCTCAGCTCCTCACACTCCCACCACAAACTGAAGTGAGCTCCTTTTAAAACCCAGGTGCCCTGATTAGCCTGCCTTAATTGATTCTAGCAGCTTCTTCTTAATTGGCTCCAGGTGTCCTAATTAGCCTGTCTGCCTTAACTGGTTCTAGTAGGTTCCTGATTACTCTAGTGCAGCCCCTGCTCTGGTCACTCAGGGAACAGAAAACTACTCATCCAGTGACCAGTATATTTGCCCTCTACCAGACTCCTGTACCCCACTGGTCTGGGTCTGTCACAAATCCCTCCCCCCTGCTCAACGCCAAGGGGTTGGGCAGCTTGGGACGCCAGACAGTGCACACGTGACAAGCCATCGGCGTTGCCATGATGGCTCCCTGGTCTGTGTTGCACACGGAACTGGAAAGGTTGGAGGGATAAGAACCATCTGGTCACCCTTGTGTTCTTCTCCTTGTTCCACTGCATCCACTGAAGAGGGGCATGGTCGGTCACGAGGACAAATCTGCGCCCGAGCAGGTAATAGCGCAATGTTTCCATGGCCCATTTTACAGGGAGGCATTCTCTCTCCACCACTGCATATTTTTGTTCCCTTGGAAGGAGTTTCCGACTGAGGTATAGAATTGGGTGTTCCTCCTCTCCGACCATCTGTGATAGAATGGCCCCAACCCTACTTCCGATGCATCTGTCTGCAGGATAAACTCCTTGGTGAAATCAGGGGCTATCAGTACGGGGTTTCTGCAGAGGGCAGTCCGTAGGTCTGTGAATGCTTCCTCTGCTGTGTCAGACCATCTCACCAGATCAGGTCCACGGGCTTTCACTAGGTCTGTCAGGGGGCTTGCCCTTGTGGCAAAGTGGGGGATAAATCGTCGGTAATACCCCACCACACCTAGGAACGCCCGGACTTGTTTCTTGCGACTTGGTCGGGGCCAATTTTGGATGGCCTCTAACTTGTTCACTTGGGGTTTTACCAGACCTTTACCCACAATGTAGCCAAGATATTTGGCCTCTGTAAACCCTACAGTGCACTTGGCAGGGTTTGCTGTAAGGCCAGCTCGCCTGAAGGTATCGAGGACTGCCTCCACCTTCTCCAGGTGGGTTTCCCAGTCTGGGGTATGAATGACCACATCGTCCAAGTAGGCAGCAGCACAACTGTTATGCGGGCGTAATAGCTTGTCCATGAGGCGCTGGAAGGTAGCTGGGGCCCCATGTAGTCCAAAAGGGAGGACAGTATATTGAAAAAGACCCTCTGGTGTAGAGAACGCAGTCTTTTCCTTTGCGTCTTCTGCAAGGGGAATCTGCCAGTACCCCTTTGTCACGTCTAGGGTAGTCAAGTACCGGGCATTACCCAGACGGTCCACTAGCTCATCTATGCGAGGTATGGGGTACACGTCAAACTGGGATACTTCGTTTAGTCGCCGGAAGTTGTTGCAAAATCTTGTGGTGCCATCAGTTTTGGGCACCAGCACGATTGGGCTGGACCACTGACTGTGGGATTCTTCGATGATCCCCAACGCCAGCATTTTTTTTACTTCTGCTTTTATTTCCTCCCTTTTTGCCACTGGCACCCGCTAGGGCCTCATTGTTACTCTGGCTCCAGGGTTCGTGACGATGTGGTGGTATGTCTCGGTTGTTCGACCCGGTTTTGTCGAGAACACATCTTGGTTCAGAAGATCATCTCAGACACCTCATTCTTCTGGTCTGGTGTTAAATCGGGAGACACTCTCACCTGTTTGGAAGGCTTGTTTTCCTGGGTTAGGTCTTTTTGGACCATTGTGCATGCCTCTTGTGCATGCCAGGGTTTCAGAAGGTTAACGTGATAAATCTGTTCTTGTTTTCTGCGTCCTGGCTGCCGCACCTTGTAAGTTACTTCCCCCACGGGTTCAACCACCTCATAGGGCCCCTGCCATTGGGCCAGAAGCTTGCTTTCTGCCGTGGGTACCAACACCAGAACCCGATCCCCTGGTTGGAACTGTCGCACTTTTGCCTGGCGATTGTAATGGGTTCGCTGGGCCTCCTGTGCCTTCTCCAAATGTTCCCGTACAATAGGGGTAACCCGGGCTATCCAGTCTCGCATCTGCATTACATGCTCTATTATATTTCTCCCCTCATTGGGTTCCTCTTCCCAGATCTCTTTGGCGATATCTAGTATGCCACGGGGGTGATGTCCGTATAATAA